TTCAAAAGATATACGTCGCATTGGTGGAAATATTGTTGCAGATTCGTTATCCAGGATAGAATCTATCTCTGACATAGATTATTATAAAATTTCAGATGCGCAAATCATTATAAAGACCTTTACGAGCTACGCTCGAAACCATCTTACAATTTAAACCATATCCTTTGGACTCTGGGAAATTACTTTGGTGTGATACTTCAACAACAAAAATTCGTCGATTTATACCTCAAGATTTTCGAAAGAACATATTTAAAAAAATTAACAGCTTAGCTCACCCTGGTGTGAAGTCTACAGTTAAAACAAACTAAACATTCGAAAGGATATCACCCTGTGGGCAAAATCCTGTACCCATTGTCAAAAGAACAAAATTTCCAGACATACGCGTGAACAAATTGCCACTTATAGAAGAGTCGATAACGAATTCAGTATTATTCATGGAGATATCATAGGCCCGTTTCCTACTTCTGAAGGGAAAACGAACTGTCTTACCTGCATTGATCGATTCACAAGTTTGATAGAAGTTATTCTTTTAGCAAATGGGATGGCTGGAACAGTAGCTCCAGAATTTTTTTATCACTAGATTTCGTGTTTTGGATTGCCATATCGTATAATCACTGATCAAGGTTGTCAGTTTCTATACGAACTTTTTAAAGACATTGGTGTTATTTTTGGATGTAAAATACGCACAACAACGGCATATAATCTCCTATGTAATTGAAAAAATCCATCGCACTTTAAAGGCACACAGAGCACACAATTCTATTAAATGAACTCAAACCTTACCAACAGTTTTGTTAGGGCTAAGATCGGCTTTGAGAGGTGATACAAATTACACCATTGCACAAATGGTTTACAGAAAACCTATCAGGTTACTTGAAGAATTTTTTGACAAACCAAAAGATACCTTGGATACCGAGACGTTTGCTAAAACCCTACAGAAACAAATCGACATGTTAAAACTACTAGAAACTCGCCTACTTCTGAAAACGTTTTTGTCCTATATATGTATAGACAGATTAAAACCAGCCTATTTGATATTAACTGAGGTGAAAATTCCGCATCATAAGCAGTCGGATAGAGCACAAAAATTACTCAATAAATAAATCTGATTGCACATCAACAACCTGAAAAACAACAATCAGATTTGCTGGACACAGATGTTCATAAAAAACTACACGCTCTGGTAGACAGGAGAAGTTTTCAGGGCGTTACAAAGATTAATCACATACTATTCATTATTGTTATTTCATATTAATTTCATATGTTTTTTATATTTTACATATAGTTTCTTTTCACATTTATATACATTTCACGTACACTGAAATTTTGCTATTGTTACTGAAAGTTGTAGAATGTTTCGTATGTTGTTATAGGGAAAGGAGTGATGTAGCAGCTCTCTCTACGTATATTATCTTTGTTGCTGCGAATTTTAGTTTCTATAGATTGGCAACAAGAAGAAATGTAAACTAAAACGATTGCTCTTGTATTTTGTAACTGTAACCGTCTTATTTTATTATTGCGAATTAAATTATGCTTAATCCATTCTGGAATTATCACTTAAGTTATTAAAATGTTTCATATATTTCTCAGCATAGCGTCCACAACACTTGATTTCTCCAGTTGCTGTGTTATGTAAACATGGCAACTGGGTGTCTTAGATGCGAAACAAACATTTGCAGTTCTTAAATACTTTTTAAGTGATTTTCATTTAGAAAACATTTCTCGAAATACACTTAATTGCAATGGTAAGAAAAGTTCACAGAATCTCATTATTTTTCATCTGCGTCAACGATCCTCATTACATTCCTCACAACGATCCTCTATAAAATAATATTTCATTTGAAAAATGCTGTCCGGGTCGGAATGCCACCTATCCCACTAGCTACGTCATTGATATTAAGATAGCATTCCTTGCCAGCTTTCAAACAAGGAGAACCTTCTAATACACTACACAGCATAAGACTTGACGCTCGTTGTTTTTAAACGCTGCTTTATGAATTTTTTCCCCAGTGGACGTTTTTATGTGAAGAGTTGTTTTATATGCTACAGTGTAAGAGAAAACATTTATTTGCAGCTGAGAGCTTATGCTGCTAGTTTACAGTTTAATAAGAACTTTCAGTCGAAGACATAACACAAAATGCCATTTACTGCGTAGTGTAAAATATTGGGTTGGTAAGAAAGTCATTTCGGTTTTTTAGTGTGAAATAAAACTCAATAATAAATCAAATATCTTCTATTTTGTTCGATGACATTTCACCATCTTTATTTTAACTTCATATTTTTGCGCTCATAGAATTTCTGCGCTCTATTAGGAAAAACCTCAATTAAGTGCAATTTGAGGTCATCGTTATTACTGAAATTTTTACCATTTAAGAAGTTTTGTAAATTTCAAAATAAATGATGATTCGATGGTGCAAAGTCGGGGCTATATGGGGGATGCGACATCACTTCCCAGCCAAACTCCAATAACTTTGTACGTGCTGCCAAAGATGTGTGAGGCTTCCTATTAACGTGGTGGAAAACTATTTCTTTGGGTTTGCCAAGTCTAGCATTTTCTTTTTGATTGTTTTCTGCAATTTTTTATGAAACTGGAAGAAAAAGTTGTTGGCAATAAAGGTCTGAGTTGATCGTTTTATTGCTTGAAGCAGCTCAAAATTTTAAAAAAGCTCAAAAAGTTTATTGCTTGGAAGCAGTTCAAAATACATATTACCTTTGTAATCCCACCAAATTAAGAGCATGATATTTTTTCTGATATAGTTGTTTTGGTGTGATTTGTGCTCATTGATCATGCTTGTACCATTATCATTTTTGATTAATATTACTGTAGACGATTTATTTTTTATCACCAGTGATAATTCGTTTCAAAAAGGGGTAGATTGTGTTACGTTTGAAATGCGTATCACAAATGTTGATTTTTTGTATTAAATGAATTTCTTTAAATTCATACGGAACCCAAATATCGTGTTTCTTAACAAGTCCAAGATATTTTATGCGATTTTCAACTGTTGTGTGCGTTACGCTTAACCTTTTTACACCTTCTCGCAGTTATATGACGATTCGATTCAATTAGGAGTTTCATTCTGTCATCACCAACTTCAGAAGTTCACGAGAGCGTTGGTCAACTTCAAGCGAAAAAAATAATTTTTAAAACGAAATTTTTAAAACTAATTCTAACACATGCGTTCTCTTAAGCCATCAACACTATAAACTTCCCATATCTCTTTGTGAGCCTCAGTCATTTTATGAAAACGAAAAAATGAAACATGTCGCAAATGTTCATTTTTGCACCCCATGTTAAAACTGACCGCAAACAAACTACACGGAATTTGTTTCTATAGCAACCTAAAAGTGTTAGTTGCCAAATTTCAAAAGGAAAAAAAATATAAGATTGGCAGAAGAATAACAAAACGAACATAACGCCATCTGTTTTGTGCAAACCGAAATTACTTTCTTGTCAACCCAACAATATAGAATTATGAAATAATGAAATGAATAACCTATGTTTCAGAACAATACAAAAACAATTTCGTCAGTCAGAAGCGGATATACATTGGAGAACAGCCTTGACGCCAAAAAAGGGAGAAACAGCGTATTATGGTAGATTAGACTATGGTTATCATCCTGTTACTTACTTCCTCTAGGCAGACAGCCATAATACTCTTCTCCTGCTAAGAGATTTTTCGTAGTAACAGATCGAATACGACACCTATAAATGTTTAATGCTTTATTTTCCGTTTTCATTTATTTTGTGATGCTTCCCTCTACTTGTCGATAATCAAAAATGGTTTATTCTATACCTTTTTAGCATTTGTTTATGTGCATTGCAAGTAATCTGTTAACATTTTCTTGTATACCTTCATTGATGCAGAAATTACCATACTTACACAACGTAAATGCTTTGCAAACACGGGCTTCGTACACTACATACACAGACGTGAGAGGAACAATCACAAATTTTGAACTTATTTATATGAAAGCAAAGTAAAATTTTGAATTATTTTTAACATTTTCTCGGGAAGAGCCTTTTTTTAACCCTTTTTCTCGGAAATGCGCAAATAAGGAACATTCTACATAAAAGAGTTATACTTCGTAAAATTTCACACTTTTAAAAATTTTTAAGTTAAAAAAATCAGTACACCAAAGGCTCAGCTAAAGCAGAAACGATTTGAGTCACCGTAGCTTGTTACTTTAAAATAGGCTATTCAATGTCATTTTCCGCGTTCTGGCTAGCTTCGTAACACGGTAGTGAGAACTACAGAAACTGCCATTTCTGAGTTTCGCTTCGTAAAATGTGCTCGGATGAAGGCTGACTTTATTGTCAAAGGAGCTGGAGCAGTGAGACAATGATGGTCCGCTTTTCAATCATAAATGAGGAAAGGTCAAAAACGCGTTACACATGTAAGTTACTATGTAGGAGCATTTATGCATCTGAGTCGTTAAAAAGCTTAGTCATTATAACGTTAAAAAGAATTTCTTTCTGATATTTCTACGGCCACCAGAGGCCAAGTGGTAAGAAGTCACTGGACACTGGTATTTCTGTCTAAGGCTGGAATTGCGGCGAACGGACAACATGCATGGGCATTTTCGTGGTTTTCTTCATGTGTAACGTGTATACGAGCCAGCCTTCCTGAGAAAGACTTCTAGGAAGGCAACTCTTTCCTGAGGCAGATAGCCCTCGACGGAAGTAAGACACACCAATTCTGATATTTCTAGGAAAAATAATATTTTTTAGCCATATTTAAAACTGAAAAATTTATGGTGTTTTTCTAAAGGATAAACTTTTTCTTTTTCATAAACTTTCCTTTTTACAAGGAAAAACTCAGTCATTCCCCGTTTTCTTTCTATTTTTCTTTTTCTTAAATATTCTGAGATAAGGCTCCTCAAGTATATAGGAGCCTTGTTCTGAGGGAAATCACTCAAGTAAGAGTAAGACTATATGAGGGATTTAAATTGAGGTAGGGAAAAAGTGTTTTAATAGATCTGGCAGCGGTAGTATACATAAACATTCACAGGTCAGGGTGTCTATCTTGCTGAGTAAATATTAGATTTTTTGGGTCGTGTTTTTTTGTTGCTAGATTTGGGTTAGCCAGATAACTTTATGTTCGAGACTTTAGTTTATTAATTAATGGTTATGGTTTTTTGTAGCTAATACCTGCATTATTTTAGTCCGTAAGCTATATAGATATCTGTGATATTTATATTTATTTGCTGTGATGGATAACAGAAATAATTTCAAGAATCCTTTTGGTCGTCCAAGTATGATAGTGTCTGGAGCAGCTTTGACCACCACAAGTTTGTTTCCATCGAAAAAGACATTAAAAGGAGTATTAGCCGGTAAGCTGTCTTATAAGATGTAATTTTAATAATGCGCGGAGTGCTAAATTTTCATTGCTTACGTAAATTATAACTTTTTCAAAGTTCTGTATACTACTGCATTTCATTTAACGTCTTTGAACTTCGTCTTTGAACTAAATTTGAAGGGATTTTAGAAATAAAACTCAAGAACCAACTCATGTGGCATATATATCATACTCTCTCTCTCTCTTTTTTTTTTTTTTTTTTTATGTTAAGTAATTTTATGACCAAAATAAAAAATGTAGCCGTGATAAATCATTGGGTTATTGCGTGCAAACCTTTTTCTCCCTCCTTCGTAAATGAGTTGTATTGTTTGTAATAATTTAGGTACAGTCGTTTCATATTGTTGACAAAATTAAGTGTATGCAATAATGTGTAAGGTAACTAGATGATCGAATCTGAATTATTTGATTCAATGAATCTTAAATATTATGCAATGTTTACCTCAGACAGATAATTCGATAATGCATTGTATTTGCATTGTTGAAGTATATAATTCTTGAGCCAAAAATGTGCTGTATTGTATATAAAGATTATTATAAAAACAATAATACTGCATGAGAATGCTTTAATATTCCTATCTGTTGGTGTAAAATTTCTAAATATGTTCTTCCAGCATTAGTACCCTTAATTTTGTGGGGGGGGATAGGCCATGTTAAAATAGAATAATAATCATGATGGATAGTTATCAAAATTTGAAAGAGCTTGAAAATAGTATGTTATTAAGGTCCTAAGAAATAAAAAGTCTTGAAATTCAGATGTTTTAATTTGTAAAATATCTTTACGATTTCAAATTATACTCGACTGTAACTTGAAATCGTAAAAATATTTAATCACCTTTCAGTTTTTAAGTGCAATTAAATTGCAGTGGTACTGGTGGTTTATACTGAGTTTTATTCTTGAAAAACAAATTGGCTGCCCTTTTTTCTGCTGAGTTTTTGTGGTTTTCTATTGGGCTAAAAACAACTAGTTTTCTTTATGAAAGTCTTTCCGTGAATGCATAAAGATAGTCTTTCTTATTGACTTATAAGTATATGTATTTTCTTCAATTTAGAATTAGCTAAGAATTAAATATTAAAATTATTTTTCAAACTTCCCTTATCTATTGTTTGGTAGTTTTGTGATTCTTTACTTTAATACTTGAAAATGTTGGTATTTAAACTGTGGGTCATGAAAATTTGTAGTGAGGTCACATGGTAAATAAAATCTCAAAAAAATTTAAATTGATGTTATATAATTAGGATATGACCCTCTGAGTGGGGTTGCAAAATTGCTTTTTATGGGGTTGCACTTCCATAAAGTTTTAATGCCACTGCTTTAATGTATAAAGTTTTGGTTGATATAGGAAGACTATAAAAGATCTTACAATTTTACTTTTGATGCATAAAAGTGTTAGTAGTTTTTAATATTTTGTATTTAAAATATTAAATATAATTATATGACTAGATAAATGTTAATAAATCTGCAAATTCAGCAACAATTGTATATTATATCCTATATGTTTAGTTAGCAGAAATTGCATATTGGTTCAAAATTCATGGAAATGATTATTTTATAGCAAACTACATGATATTTTTACACAGTGATTCAAGTGAGAAGGTTCAAATTCCTAACCTTTGCAGCTTCAAGTTTTTTTACACTATTCGAGAAGTATGCAGTAGAAATTTTTATTATTATTATGTTCTGAAGCCGTGTTGATCATGTTTATTTATTCACTTACAAAGTGTTAGTTTCTAGTCCCATGGATCTTGAGATTTTCTTAGTGGACATTTGACTGATAGTCCGTATAGAAATTATATTAAAATTAAAGCTATAATTATTTACATATGATGTATAGTTATATAATATATAATAGATTTACCATTTAAAATCAATATTGGTATGTAATTTTTCTAATGCATAAGTTGGTATTTTTTGTCAAACATGCTGTGGTTCATTATAAATTTGTTCAGGAACATCGGTATATATTCATTAGTGTACAAAATACAGTTCTTCAATTCAAACTATGTTAGCTAACTAAACTGTGTTCAATCAGATATGCCTCAATTTCTTTAGCTTACAAAATACAATTTTCCTTTTTAGGTTTGATTTAATATATATTCAGTATTCCTTAAATGTTCAGGTTTATATGTTTTAAATTATTACCCCTTGAGAAGTCAATTTGAAGCATTAAAATATGAATAATTATAATACTAGTTTCTCCGAATTACATTATCAACTGGTAGTAAGCAAATTAAAGAAAATAACAAAATTGGAATCAAATAATGTTCACTTTAAGGAGTAAAATAATATAAAATACATGAAATTTGTACATAACAAAACCAAAAATAAATAGCAGGGCGTAATTTCTAAGATTAGAAGTGCCAGAGCCATATGGTGGACTGTCAGGAAGGAAGGAAATAATAAATTAATTAAATATCTAAAAATTAAAATGATTAAATGAATAAAAATTAAAAGAATGTGAAGAGATAAATAGAAATTTAATGCATTATTAAATTAATTATAAATAGTTAAATAAAAAATTAATCAGACCTCCTCTTATTGGGGCTGTGGCTGAAATTACAATTTGATTCAGAAGCTAAGAAGCAGATCAACTGATCCTATTCTGAATTTAAGCCCTGCTTATACATATAATATACATATAATGTACTATTTCAAGGGATGATAGATATAAAAACTATTCTTTTTTGCAGCACATCAGTGAAGAAAGATAAATTGATTAAAGCTTTACCAAGAAGAATAGTGAGAATTCTAGAAACATTATGAAGATACGGAAGGAAATTTAAACAGAAAAGCATAGCTTTGAAAATAAAGAGGGAAGAGTCCAAAACTTTCTGATCACGATGATCTGTCGATATAATTCTAGTTATTAAGCAGATATTTTACCTGAGTACCATGTGATAACAATGTGAAAATAAATATGACTCCTCTGCACAAGTGATAGTAGATGTCCCTGCATTTGGTTACATCATTAAAAATGTCTACAGAAGCTCTGCAGTAGGAAGCCTGTAGCAGGGCACATGCATGACCAAGATGACAAATTTAGTACTTTCTGGAACGAAAAATTTACCTGCTGCCCTAATTTCATCGTATTTCTTAGATATAAGTCTTTGATATGTGTTTGAGGGCTTTTCTTACCATAAATGTCTCAATCTCTGACCAAGGTTTGTATCTGTGGGAAAGACAGGCCTGCATTCAGAAGTTAGAATGGATTTTTAAGGCATATTTTATTATTAAAATAAAATTTTCCTTCTGAAATTGCTGTTCATTTACATAAAAGAAGTGTTGTAGCCCTTTTATTTGGGGCTCCAGAGTGCACTCTGGCTAAAATTAGGATTTATCTCAAAAACTGAGAGGTTCCGGAGCCGGGCTCCTGTGGTCTCTGACACAGTTTAAGTAAATAATGGTAACTCAAGATATGTTTATGTATAGTCAATGTATTCATTGCTAGTTCATTGGTAGTTGCTGAATACCGGTAGTTCAATCTGGAATCGGATTTTAGTGAATGGATGGCTGATGGCCATTTCATTGGTTTATCCATATGGAATGTGGATAAACCAATGAATCCATTGTTTCATGAAATGTGAATAAGATCCTTTTAGCTATCCCTTCAGGAAAGCATCCATTTTTAAAGGCAGAGAGCATTAATATGCTTTACTGTAATAAAATGATTCTGATGGACTTCTGTTCAACAAATATATCTCCTTGAATCTCCAGTGACTTGTCATGAACATTAGGGCTTAGGCACTGAACTCGTTAATAATTGCTATTCTCAAACCTTTTATTTATGTTTCTGTGTCCAGTTGTGACTCATCTTTGCTCATTTATTTTGTTTTTCTCTTTTTTACCATTACCACTTTCATGGTTTACACTGAACATATGTAGTTGTGCGGCTTATTTATAAAAAGTTGTCTTCAGCTTAATGTTCTGTCCATTTTTTTAAATATTGAAATTATTTACATTGATTTTCACATTAGGTGATTAGATTATTTACATTCTAGTAGAGAGTTTTAAACTGACTAAAAATGTAAATGTAGTTGGAAAAATATATAAACATATTGCATTAAATTTGTTATTAAATAATTCATTGGGCAAATTTTTGAGATTAGAATTATAACTCTTTTGATATCTTCTGATGTACATGTCTAGACTTCTTGATGTACAGAATTGCAAAAGATACTTCACTGGGAAGTGAAGATAACATTTTTATTGATTTAATTTACCTGCAAAACAAAATTCGAGACTTAACAGCTCACTCCTACCACTTGAAAATGGCAAGTGGGAAAGAAATGTATTAATTATGTTTTAATATTTTCTTTCTAACCTTTGTAAAAGGAAGGGGATGTGTTAGATATTTTAGTGCTTTTTTATTATCCACATATCCAGTTTCAATATTCAGAAGATTTTTTTTTTATTATATGTTGCAAGTATACATGCAACAGTAGAATTTATAATTATTTATGAATGAACTGTACCTAGGAGTTGTAATGAACTACCTAGGAGTTGCAACAAGCATTGCTGACCAATTTACACAGTCAGTCAGCAATATGCATAGTTGTTTTTCATGGAGATTCAAATAATCAGAAAAGTATTGCTATTTCTATGCACTTTTGTTATAATTGTTAGCTCATTTAAGGAGTAATAAAGTGACAAGCTTTTCCCTTTACACTGTAATTAATAATATTCAGACTTCATTAAGTATAGATAATACATAATAATAATAAAAAGTATGTTCAATATATTAAATATTGCATAAATTACAAAGCATGGATAATACATAAATAGCTGAGAAAAAGTTTATATTCTAATAAAAATGCTTTTTCCTTCTTCGTGAATCATTTTTAACTTCCTTTAATTTTTTGTATTTAGTAATATGCATTAAAATAGTTTAAAAAATCTATATTTTATATTCTGTATTTCATTTGATGGGCATAAAGAACTCATTTTGGAAGTAATTGGAATAATAGCAATTGCTTTTG